GGAGTATTCCAGAATAGTTGAGTTCCTTTAGAACAGAAGTGTGCCTGCATCGCTCTCTGCTACTTCATAGCTAGCCAGCATGTAGGATGTGGCTCAAGTGAACTCCGTCTGATGTTTTAGTTCAGTGTGCTGTGTATGTCAGTGCTGTGTGTAGTTCATGAAAACGTGGATGGACCTTTCCTAGTGATGAAAAGTCAAACATTGTCCAAATCAATTCAGAGAGACTGCTGAAATACATCCAGGAAGTTTGGATTCTTGTGTGTGGACCAGTCTGCGGGAGCAGAATATGGTCATTATCCTTACCAATGGTTTCTATAGCCTGGGATAGTAGATGTAGTTTGCTTCATAGAAGAATAATTAATTACATGTTCACAACATAAGTAAGCCTTGTAAGGTGCTCACTCTGCAATAATCGAGATATGAGGTATAATTTTATCTTTCGAGTAAAGCTTTTAGGATATGGTAAAGCGGGGTCTCCTTCAGGTTGATGTGACCCTTTATGCTGGTCGAGTGCCGTCAGCAATGTTGAGGGAAGCTGGGGCGCAGCCTGGGCATCTGAGAGTGAGATGTGAACTCAGCAGCACTAATGGGGAGATGCTTGATGTGGGTGGGCGCCGCTGTTGAACCTCAGTTTGTCAAAAAGGTAGGACAACTGGAAAGTTTTGTTGCTCTCAGGAAGCTGAGTCTGCACTTTTCTAAAACAATTCAGCTCCTTTTTTATTTCTGTATGTTCTTAAGAGACCAGCAAATACAAACAGTTGTATGGGTTTGACATGGTACAGCTCTTTAACACTATTAGGCAGGGTCCTCATACAGTCCAGGTGGACCATTCACTCCCTATTTAGCTGAGGCTGGTCTAGAACTCAGTCCTCCTGCCTCCACCTCCCAAGTAACATTACAGCACTAACTCCATACACTAACTTCATACCCTGTAAGAGCATTTTAGGGACTGCGATGTAACTCGGTGATAAAAGTGATTGCAATGCATTCCTTAGCCCCTGTGCTGAATCTCATGCCCACAAAAACTACAACTAATGCTATTTAAACTCATAACCTTGCTTTTTACCAAGCCCTTGGTTTCTGTTTGCCTGCGTGGGGAGTACATTTAGAGAACTGGCTTTCAGCTTTCCCTGCTTACATATTTCTTCCTCAGAATGAGGTGCCTGAAAGCAGAGCAGGTTAGTGGGTTCTTTTTAGCTTCTCTTTCATAACCTGCTCTTCTTCCTCTTCTCAGAAGTTACCGCCCCATTCTAATATTGCTGTTATTTTATCTGTATTCTCCTAGACTGTAAGAAAATCTCCAGGGCACTAGAAATAAAGACTTGATTTCTTATTCTCACAGCGTACTCAAAGATACACACTTGTGTCTCTGTATACTATGTGATACTCAAAGATACACACTTGTGTCTCTGTATACTATGTGATACTCAAAGATACACACTTGTGTCTCTGTATACTACGTAAAATGAGCGTCAGTGTTTACATGAATGAATGAGCGTCATTGCAACAGTGCATCTTTAAGTAAAGCTAATGTTTATGATTATTAGAAACATTTACAGAAGCCCGCTAGATTATTTATGTTGTGCATGTGAGTATGTGGTATATGTGTGCGTGTGTGTGTGTGTGCACAAATGTGTATGGGGTGCTCCATCTGTGCCAGTGCCCAGGTGGATGACAGGCTGACATCAGGATGCCTTCCTGAACTTGGAGCCGAGTGGTGGTGGCAGCAGACACCTTTAATCCCAGTACTTGAGAGGCAGAGGCAGGCAGATTTCTGAGAGTGAGTTCCAAGACAGCCAGGGCTACACAGAGAAACCCTGTCTTGAGAAACCAAACCAACTAACCAGCGAAACAACAACAACAACAATAAAAAGAAACCCCAAAACCAACAAGCCAAAACCAGAACAAACAAAAACCCACTCCCACTAAAACACGGAAGTTAAGCTCTCTGGAAGAGCAAAAAAATGCTATTACCTCTGAGCTGTCTCCAGAGCAGCACACCAGCCCTGTCGCCTGTGTTCTGGGGTCTTAGTGTGGATCCCCTGTTCGCACAGCAGGCGCTCAACCTGTGTGCTGTCTCCCCAGCCCCTGATAGAACGGTTAGCTTTTAACAAAACAGCTGATCTTTGGAAGTATACTGCCGAGTGTGAACCAATCACGTCTTTGTTTCCCTTCTTCCTGCCAGATGGAAAAGTGATAGGTTCTCTAATCTATAATCGATAGCTGATGAGTAATGCCCACAGCTTCAGCCCCATGTTTGCTTGATAACCTTTCTGCTCTTATCCCCACTACGTTTTGCTTCCTTCCAGCAATCCATCTATGATACCTGGTCTTATTTTGAAACCAGAAAGCCACACCACTTAGTAACATACATAGTTCCAATAAAATTTTCTTTCTTTTCCTTTGTTTCTTCTTCTTCTTTTTTTTTTTTGTACTTTTTAAAAATAATTTATTTAACTTTATGCTCTTTGGTGTGAAAGTGTCAGGTCCCCAGGAACTGGAGTTACAGACAGTTGTAAGCTGCCATGTTTGTGCTAGGAACTGAACCTGGGTCCTCAAGAAGAACAGCCAGTGCTCTCGTAACGGCTGAGCAATCTCTCCAGATTCTTTTATTTTTTTTTATTTATTTTTTTTAGGTCAGGCTAGCCTTGAACTTACAGAGATCCATCTCCCTCTGCTTCCCAAGTTCTGGGAATAAAGGCATGCGCCACTACTTCCAGTCAAAATTTTATTTATGTTTAGTAATTTTAGAATATTTTTATGATTGACTGGTTAACCTTATCAAGTCAATGTTTAAATGTTTTGAATCTGGTGTTTACTGAAAAGTTTAAATTTTAAAAATGTAAAATGAACATATATGGAAAAAATGTGCATACATACAGACACCAAAAAAAAAATGGTCTGAGAGATGAGTATCTGACTTCCCTTAGTCCATCTACAGCAAAGGAGGGAGGGAGGACTGGGATGTTCCTCTCTCCTCTGCTGTCCAGATCTAAATAGAGCAGTAGTGAAAGTATATGGCCTTTGTAGATGTCAACAAGATAGATATGCCGATAAGTCTTTTGTTAGCTCAAGCTAGAGTTATTTGGAAAGAGAAAACATCAATTGGGACATCGCTTCTATCAGATTGGCCTGTGAGCAAGTTTCTGGGGGCATTTTCTTGATTAATGGTTGGGAGGGCCCAGCATACTGTGGGCAGGGCCACCCCAAGGCAGTTGATCATGACTTGTATAAAAGTAAACTGAGCAAGCCATTAAGTGCTTTCTTCCATGGTGTCTGCTTCAGTTCCTGCCACCAGGGTCCTGCTTGAATACCTGTTCTAACCGCCTTCAGTGATGGATTGTGATGGGAAAATGTAAGCCAAATAAACCCCTTTCTTCCCTAGTTGCTTCTGGTCAGTGTTGTCATAGCAATACAAAGCTAAGAAAGTGGAATAAGGCAGATATTACATGGTGGTGATTATATGTATGTATATAAATGTGCATATAATGTATGTATGTAAATATACATTTATTTTGTCTTAGTTTGCAGTGCTAGGCATTGACTCCAGTGTGTCCCACCCACATCCTAAACAAGCTCCACCACTGAGCTCCATTCCCATTCTGGAGACTTTCAGAGGTGCATTCTCTCCTTCAACAGTAGTACTACCTCTCCCTTTCCTGTCTGGGCCCTAGCTGATATCTGTGGTCATAACTGGGCAGCAGTGTGGACACTTCATTTAATATATGCAAAGTTCAGGCACTCTACAGCACCTCAGCAGGAAGTCAGAGGACACAAATGCCTGGACCATTGTGAACTATAATAACTTAAACCCACTGTTGACCAGATACATCAGACTATTGTGCTAAAAGAGTTTGGGAGGCAGGAAGGAGTTCAGGGTGGAAACTGAGGCGGTCGTCCTTCAGGTTTACTCATGAAGCTTAATTTGAGTTTTCTTTACTATTGTGTTTTCACGGTCCCCAGAGTCAATCAGGATCAAGATGCTAATTTTGGGTCTGGCCGATTCCGAATATATCATGTGTTCTTTTATTATTTGGTATCACAAACAGGTGATCTTATACTGGAAACTAGTGATGTCGTTACTGTAAAGTTAGAACAAAGAAGAGACACTGAGGTAGCCAGCGGTCAGAAAGTGCAAGCCGCAGTCAATACTCTTAGGACTAGAAAGACAGAGGGTGCAGGTGTCGACTCTAGCTAGAACGGAGGAGTTTGGAAGCGGGGCTCTTTAGGACCGACAGGTGTCTTAGGAAAGGCTACTTTTCAGCAGGGCAATGGGGCCTCAGAGCGCCGTGGCCGACGAGCAGGTGCAGCTCGATAGGTGCTTGCCTGACCGGGAAGGTGCAGAGCACAGTAGGGGGTGATTCTTACTGTTCAAAGGATAGCAAAGGTATTCTGAAGATGTGGCAGGGAGGAAGATAAAGGCCGGAGAAGCTCAGCACCACAGTTTGCGGCTGCACCGGTCCCAAGAGGAACTGGAAGCAGGAAAGCCGTTCTTCCCCTTTCCACCCAGGCCTTCCTCTTTTCAGAAGTCCTCACTGGAAGGCATGTGTTACAGAGGTCTGGAAATTGTAGACTGCATCTCAGTCATGAAGCAGCGTTTTGAAAGGTATACTTGGGGTTAAGAGGCAGTAAATAGCCAGATCTATCTTCCCGGACCATGCAGCATCTGTGATGGTTAACCTAAATTGTCAGCTTGACTGGATCTAGAACCACCATAGAAACATACCTCTGGTTGTGTTTGTGAGGGTGGCCTGGCTAGTTTTGTGTCAAGTCGACACAAGCTAGAACCTCAATTTAGAAAATGCCTCCATGAAATCCAGCTATAGTTACCAAGCTGTGGTGGCGCACACCTTTAATTCCAGCACTCGGGAGGCAGAGACAGGTGGATCTCTAAGTTCGAGGCCAGTCTGCTCTACAAGAGCTAGTTCCAGGACAGGACAGTCACCAATGCTACACAGAGAAACCCTGTCTCGAAAAAAATGAAACAACAACAACAAAAATCCAGCTACGGTGTATTTTCTTAATTAGCGATTGATGGGGGAGGGGGGAGGGCCCAGCCCATTGTAGTTGGTGCCATCCCTGGGCTGATGGTCCTGGGTTTTATAAGACAGCAGGCTGAGCAAGCCATGGTGAGCAAGCTCGTAAGCAATACTCCTCCATGGCCTCTGCATCAACTTTTGACTCCAGGTTTCCGTCCTGCTTGAGTTCCCGTCCTGACTTCCTTCAGGGATGGACTGCAATATGAAAGCAAAAGCCAAATAAACTCTTTCTTTGCCAAGCTGCTTTGCTTGATGGCATTTTATCACAGCAGTAGAAGCCCTAACTCAGACAGAGGGTGTTTTCAGACAGGGTTAATGGAGGTGGGAAGGCCCCTCTTAAATGTGAGCAGCACTGTGCCGTGGGCTGGAAATCTAGACAGAATACAAGGGAGAAAGCGAGCTTAGCAGCCGCTTTCATCACTGCGAATCCTGACTGGTTGCTGCAGCCTTACATTCCTGCTGCCCTGAGGCCTCTAATACACAATGGGCTGTGAGCCGTGAGAAACCCTTCCTCTCTTAAGTTGCTCTTCTCAGATATGTGCTCACAGCAGGAAGAAAGGAGAGGAATTCAGCACCTGTTTACCTGCCTCTGACTTCAGAGCGTGTTGCTTTGGCCCAGTGAGACACAACCACCCTTTCCACAAAGGTGTTTCCAGCCTCTGAAAAGATCAGTCACCGTAGCCTTGTCTGGGTGCTGTCTGCCCGGGCACTCTAAAACAGTGTGATTTGTAAAGTTAACTACAGTAACAAGACTTTAAAAAATCTTTTTTTTCTTCTTTGAGAATTTCATACATGTATATAATGTGTCTTGAGTATATTCACTCTCCATCTTCCTCTCGAGCTTTCCCCGGCTTCTTTCACATCTCCTTCCTAACTCATGGCCTCCTTTTAAATGACCTATCTGTCTGTCTATCTATCTATCTATCCATCCATCCATCTATATCTTTTGTCTATCATCTATCTATCTATCTATCTATCTATCTATCTATCTATCTATCTATCTATTATCTATCTATCTATCTATCATCTATCTATCTACCTATCATCTATCTACCTATCCATCTATCATCTATCTACCTACCTGTCTGTCTGTTATCTATCTATCTATCTATCTATCTATCTATCTATCTATCTATCTATCTATCTATCTATCCTTTTAACCCACTGAGTCTAATTAGTACCACTGTACATGAATGTGTGGTCATCCACTGGGACATGAGCAACCTACCAGCAGCTACACTCCCAAAGAAGAGACTCTTCCCCAGCACCCCTCAACTAACAAGCAAGGGGTGGCTCTTGAGAGCTCCTCTTCCCTCCCGCTGGAATTTTTACCGCACCTGATGTTGTGCAGGTACCGACAGCTGCTGTGGGGCTCTTACGTTTCATCTGCGCCCTGTCCGGAGACAGCACTTCGCATCCTCCTCCCCACCCTCCGGCTCTCCCAGTCTTTTGTCCTTGGTGTTCCCAGAGCCTGAGGTCAGGTGCGGGAGTGGATGTAGTTGTCCTGTCTAGTGCCATGTATTCACTGCCACTTATTCTCAGCGCTTTGAACAGCAATGAGTTTCCTGGTCAGGCCAAGACTGAGCTCTCTGAGTGGGTGGTGTCTTCAGCAGAAAGGGTCTGGTTATGGTGGGAAGTCAGGAGGAATGACTAGAGCTTGTATTGTTTGCGATGCCACAGGGGTCTTCCTGACCAGAAGTAGTAACAATCCTGACGTAAAATACAGGTGGACAGTAATAAAGGAGAGGAGAAACGCAAACATCAGTATACACAGAACAAGCAAGGAAGGCAATCTCTGTAGTTGCTACAGTCCCGCGTTGTTAGGTTAGCTACGCAGTCCATTCTTAGTAGAACTAATTCAGTCCTTCACTCCCAAGAGTCTAAATATTAGTAGTCATTTTATATTTATTGCCATATTTGCCTTAATGCTTAGTGCTGGGTTTGATAGGACTCAAGGGCACCTCAGAGAGCGTCCTAGGCTGCGGACATCGGCTTCCCTGCCTTCGTTGTCACGTCAGCCACTCAATTTACCCTTAGTAACTTGGAACAATTTTCCAGCAAAGATGACGAGCCCTTCTTTGTTGGCTGGTTTAATAATACAAAAAGCTCAGTGTGGCCTCTGGAAATTTCGTCTTCTAATTTACTGGCACCATTGTTGTGACTTCTGGAGGAGGAACGCGAGTCAACTATGGTGATTGGCGTTACGGGATGAGAAACACAGGTTTGTGGGTAGGAAATTAGTTGTGACGGTGGAGGAGTCTGTCCCCATTTTGCTCCTTTGTCCGAGCAGTACATTCTGGCTGTGGAAGAAAGAGTACCCCGTGTTCCTTGCTGAATCCAAGAATAGCACAGATACTAAAGGATGGGTCTAGCTTTTCAGAGTCTTCTCCCCCACTGGCATTACAACTGTGAACCTTTAGTAAGCTGTTTTATAGCCCTGTCCCCCTCTGGAAGACACTGCTCTACATGACAGACTGACAACCTAGACACACAGAACAATCGTGTGTCTAAGAAATGGGCTTCTCCTCGGAAGCGATATTGTGTAGGACACCCATAAATCCACAAACACTCCCAGTCATCTGTTGCTGTGTCACAAATCCCGCCCCCTAAATTTAGCAGCTTGAGACAACAAACATTTATTACTTCACAATTTATGTCGTTCAAGAATCCAGGAACAATTATAGCTAGTTATTTCTGGCCAAAGGTCATAAGATTGCAATCAAGTTTTTGGCAGAGCTGCCGTCATCTCCAGACATGCGTGAGGGACCAGAAACACGGCTAACCTTGCTCATCCTTGTCAGTCTCTGTTCTGGCACAGGCCGGTAAGCTAGGAGGGAAATGTGCCTTGCTATGTCGTGCCGCCATGACTTCACACCATGACAGCTCGCAGCCTCTAGGGTGAGTGATCCAAGGGCTAGGGAGAGAGAAAGACAGCCCCTAAGGGGAAGCCAGTCAGAAGTCCTATCCCGTAATTCTTCCATTTTTCTATTAATTAGAACCAAGCCACCAATCCAACACCTCCCTGAGGGGACGGTGCCTCTTAAACTCATAAGTAGCAGGAAGCATATGTCATTCAGAGGCTGCTACAGCAGTTGGAGGGGCAGAAGCACAGACCTAGTGTTTGGGAATAGGTTAATTATTCTTTGCAGAAACAGAGCTTGGGCTGCTACCAGGCCACGGCAGAGACTGGATTTCTGATCGTGGGACATTTGCTAACCTGTAAACTGAACTGCCCATGGTGAACTGGGTGTTTTCCGAACCATCTATATGTAAAGGCTGTGTGCCAAGAGGCATCAGATTAGGTAAAGCAGAAGTTGTGATCATGTACACTGCGTGAGAGGCGACGCCACTTACAGATGACTGCACCATATACTAACATTGATAGATGCAGATGTCTGCAGCACCGCACCCCATTCAGCTGCCTCTGCTACGCAGAATGTCAGTCTATGTAGGTATCTGCTTGTCTGTTAGACTGGAACCTAAGTATTCTGACTCAAAGGCTGTAGCTGACAGTTTAACTGAAGTACTGGGGACTTAGAAAAATGTCTGGTAGTTTGACGACAAGGAGGACTGGGAGAGAGCTATGAATGAAACATTCTGAAGAACAGAGGGCGAGCACTGTACCCCATATATACCCATGTGATACTCAGCAAAAGGTACACACCATGGAGGAGCCTTCCAGAGTACCACATGACCTGCTTTGGGTGACATCGGCCTCTTCTGCAGTTGCTTACTGCTTTTTCAGTGACCGCGGTGGAGGGGATGCAGACTATGCATGGGCTCACCAGCATGGACTTCTCTTTCCAAGACTTGTCTAGTTGTTCTGGTGCTAAGTGCAGCACAGAACTCTCTAGGTAGCACCTTGGCCAGGGAGAGGCCAGAAAACCACCTCCAGGGAGGCCGGTGTCAATGGAGGAGATGGCGATTTCAACTCCCTGGAAAATACGTACTCAGGATACGGGCTTGTCTTCCTCGACTGTGATGTTTCAATCCACATAACTATGTCTGGGTGCTTGGGACAGTATTTTTCTGATGAAGACCTAATTTCTAAGTCATCCTTATGCTACGAAAACACACTTTTCTTGAGATAGTGTCTTGCTATGTAGCCTAGGCTGGCAATGAATTCACAGTCTTCCTGTCTCAGCTTCCTGAATGCTTGGATTATAGGTGCATACCACCAGGACTGGATTAAACAGCATATATATAACACACACATATATTTATATATATGTATATATAAACATATATATGTGTGTGCACTCTTTATATTACATATTATATATAACACACATATATGTGTGTGCATGCCCACTCTTTATATTGTATACCCTTATATATAATACACACACATATATAAAACATCTATAAACACCTGTAATTCTGTAATTCTTGAACTTTGGAAGAGTAACTTCAAGATTATCCTGGACAGTGAGATCCTGCCTCAACAAAGCCAACACACATGAAGAAACCCAAAAATATGATGGTACTCTAACAAAATATTTGTCTAATTAGGATAATGATGTGGTTAATTTTTTTGTTTTTCAAGTTACTACGTGCCCAGGGAGAGATGCCAAAATAAGCTATAAAGAAAATAAAATGAAGATGATTTTTATTTTTATTATTTTGCTCTTAGATTACAAGGATTCATGTAGCTCAGCCTGACCTTGAACTTTCAGTGTAGTTGAGACTTCCTTGAGCTCTTGATCCTTCTGCTTCTCCTTCTCCACTACTGGATTACAGGCACCGCCAAGCCCAGCTTTGAAGACAAGTTTTAAGCCACAGTGGCCACAAGGCAGTTTCCCTGACCATAAACGAGCGAGCACCGAGATTCTGATGATTTAACCCTGGTCGCAGTACTGTTACGTTCTTCCAGTCACTCAGACTGAGACTACTTCCGTCCCTCCTTAGACAGTCTCTGTTGTCTCAGGGAGTCTCAAGCTCCAGGGCAATACTCGTCTTTATAGATATAAAAGTCCAGTCCACTCCTCTCTCAGGACATTCTGAATGGGTAGGTCTGGGTGTGACCTAGGGTTTGTAAGTTTTATTATAGCAATGTAGTGACTTCGTGTGTGTGTGTGTGTGTGTGCGCGCGCGCGTGTGCGCGCACGCGCGCGCGCATGTGCACACACCTGCGTAAGTGTGTGGAAGTCAGAGGACAACTTTCGGTACTTGGTTCTCTTCTTCCATTATGATAGTCCTACAGAGCCAACTCTGATTTTCAGGCTTGGTCGCAAGTGCTTTTACCCATTTCACTGGCCCCAATCTGTTTATATTCCCCCAGGATTCCTGTGTGACTCAGGCTTACGAGGTCCCTTCAAGGTCACACCTTTAAGGAATAGTAGCCCAGACGTACAGGTGGTTCCGGGGCTGAAGGGACTGAGGGAGAATTTAAGTTAAGACGTGGAAGAAACAGGGGCAAGTTCCTTTTGTTGTTGACAGAATCAGATTTCAGAAACACAAGTAGGAAGACAACCCCAAATCCTTTACCCCCGCCCCCTTTGCTTAGCATTGATTCAAAAAGTAGCACGTCCCTGTGCTCAGGTTACCAGCTTGGGTCTGCAGAGCGGTTGTCTATCGGCACGAGAAAGGCTCGCAGCACAATGCCTGCTGGTATCAGATTGCGCTTCCACAACCATATCAGAGCTGCCTCCAGAGCCGGCCGAGATAGATCTGACTCAATACCAACCTCGCTGCTTCTCGGTTACCTATTTTAAGGTTAATAACCTAACCTTGGATTTTTCACTGGAATGACAGAAAAATCTACTCCAGCCATGTCAGACTCGGGGATTGAACTTGGATCACAAGCACTTTTACCTTCTAGTCATCTCTCTGGCCCTGGAATAATGTATTTTTTTTTAGCTGCTCCGGAGATATAATTTGATTGGAAATACTTAATCATTTTAGATGTCAGACCTTGCACAAGCTCACTAAGGCAGGCATTATCCCGCCAATGCACTCAGGGAATGTCACGGTGAAAGTGTCCCCTGCTGAGAAACTGGGGTTGTGTCCCACTGACTGTCACCAGAGAATGGCGTGACCTTCCTGAAGAGGCTTTGAACTGAAGTAGGACATGGCATCTCATCTCCCTCCTGGAGAAGCTCAGGTTTCCCTGTCCTCTGTCAATGACAGAAAATATAAAGAGAGTTTCTATCACAGCCTAGGAGCCCGGAGTCTAACCTGGTTGTTCTTTCTCTTGCTTCTCTGGCAACCTCCCACCCCAGCTTCAAGGTGTATTGTTCAGGTTGATGTGGACAGCTGACCTTTCTTGCATAGCATATCTCTGAGAATCAAACACTTGAGATTGTTTCTTTTTCCTCAGGTAGACTTCAGATTATTTGATTGGTTTTACATAGTTATTAAAACTGCAAGTCATACACGCTTGCCAAGAGGGCTTGCGCGTTTAAAGGGCTAACCAAGATAGTCTACTTAGCCTTCTATTGAGCTCTTCTGGCTCTGTAAGAACCTCACTCTGGGGATTACGGTTTTGGCTGAATGGTCTTTTCCCCTCCACTGCATCCTAGGGAATTCTCTATTCACTAGAGAACTATCCACAGACAACATCAAGGAGGAAGAGAATAGGCAAGATAGGGGAACAAAGACGCAAAGCAGCACCATGAACAAAACGCCACAGAGGCTGGAGGGGTGGCTCTGGGAGGAATGAGCTCACCCAGCAAGCATGAGGGACAGAGTCAGGATCCGCCACAGTCAACAAATGCCAGGTGTGAGAACAGTGCCAGTGACCCCAGTCCTGGGTGGAGAGAGGATGGGCCAGATCCTGAGGGTTGAAATGGTGGGCTTTAGTTCAATAAAAGATTCTCTCTCACAGCCAAGATGGTGAGTGAAGGAAGCAGGGATCTAAGATTGATCTCTGGCTTCTACTCTCGTGTGTGTGTGTGTGTGTGTGTGTGTGTGTGTGTGTGCGCAGGTAAATACACACACACACACACACACAACCAAGACTGAAGCACAAAAGCAGATGGGGGGCTCCCGAGTCTCACAGTAGGATGACATTTGTCAGAAGGCAGAGGTTGAGGAGTGATTGCAGATCAAACAAGGAAAGCCAGAAGCAGAAACAGAATGCCTCAGACAGAGACCCCAAGTGACTGCTGTCCACCTCATGCAGTTCGCATCCCATGGTGCTCTTTTCTGTCTTGCTGAACCCTGGCCCAAGGACCCCAGGTGGCTCATTCTCTCAGACAGGCTGGTCCAGACTCACCTTTCCGTCAGAGGCCTCAGTGCTGTCCTTTCATGGTCCTCACATACATTCTAGCTGTTGATAAAGCTTTGGTCAGTTTTCCTCATTTGCCTGGTATGCCTTTTCCTTTGCCAGGCACAAAGATTCTGGATACTTTATCTTTTTTTTTCTATCCCTTCTCTTCCCTTCCTCCCCTCTCCTCCTTTTCCTCTCCCTTTCCCTTTCTCTTCCTCTTTCACTTTCCCTTTCTCTTCCTCTTTCCCTCCCCCTCCCCTCCCCTCCCCTTCCCTTCCCTCTTTCTTTTCCAGATTCCTGTCCTCTCCTTCATTCCCTCCCTCTCCTGTCCTTTCTTTCAGGCCAGGCTGTGCCATTTGTTTAGTCTCCCTTGGAGAGAGTCCCATTTGTCCCTCTGGACCACCATGTTTTTGCTCTGTGCAGTTGCTTTGGTCCTTTTCTTAGCATCTCCCCTCTTTTCTCCCACAGCATTATGTCGTTAGCCACACCCTCATGTTCTGCTTCTTCCTCATTATCCGAGCTTCTGAACAAACCCGGGTACCTCTTTTTAGCAGTTCCTCTTGATTCAAATGCATCTGCGACCTTCTCCACACGGCAACCCACTTGAGAAATGTCTTATTGTCCTGTTTTGAAAGAGTTTATATCAAAACGGCGTGGTTTTCCTGGGGCTTATTTTTTAAGTTTACTTTTCTAAGTCTGCAATTATTGACAAAAAAAAAAACCCTAAGTATATTCAGGATGATTAATACGCCCTTCTGAATCACCAAGCACTGTCACAAGCTCATATCCAGCCACACATATAATTGCCCAGGCATCAAAGAAAACAGGGCTTGGCTCATCGTTTAAGCGAAGCATTTGAACTGAGCGGCGGCTGAATGACATCATGGTCCATTGTGCAGGGGAATGAATGTTCTCCAGTGATTCACACAGACAAATGAAGGGGGGAAACGAATCACGGCAGCACACGTAGTAGAAACCCTACCACGCAGACACAAACCGGCGGGCGGCAGAGCAGTCGGGACTCTGATAGTTTGAGCCAAACCACATTTGCCACCTGAAATGGAAGTAACTCATTTGACTTTTATTTACCTTCTGGATTTTTAGAATTAACGTACGAAATCTAAAAACGCCTTGTTAGTTGTTTAAAAGCTATATGTTGGTCAGAGATAGCTCAGTGGACCTTGTCGCTCTAGTCACCTGAGTCCCACCCCTAAGACCCATGTGAAGGTGAAATGACAGAACCGCCTCTACAAAGTTGTCCTCTGACCTCCACGTCCATATTGGGGCGCGTGTACCCCCACACACCATGCACATACAAAAGTCATAATCAATAAGAAACAATTAAAATGTTTACATGCTGTGGTGGCTGGTCTCGTCAGCCGGACTCACCCAGGTCTAAGAGGGACCGTCCACTGAGAGCTGCCTCCATCACGTCAGCCGTGAACAAGTCTGTGAGACTTGATTGATGTAGTTCTGACCCAGCCCACAGTGGGAGGTACCATCCCTAGGCAGATGGGCCCGGGCTGTGTAAGAAAGGCAGCTTCATGGAAACAAAGGAGTAAAGCCAGCAAACAGCCTTCCTTTGTGGTCTTGGCTTCAAGCTCTGGCCTTCGCTTCCCTTGATGATGGTCTGTGACCCATTAGATGAAATAAACCCTCTCTCTTCCAAACAGCTTTTGGTCATGGTGTTTATCACAGCAATAGAAAAGCAAACTAGAATATATGCATACATGGTTTATAATTATAATTATATATATATATATATTTAGATAATATAGCAATACAAACAAAGGTTCATGCCTCTGCTTCCAACTGAAATGGAGTAATTTGTTAGAGAGCTGAGAGACATCCTAGTGGGTAAGTAAGTACTTGTTGTGCTAGTGACCTGAGTTCGAATCTGGGAGCACCTTTTATATAAAGTGGTAGTGTGCATCTGTGACCCCAGTGTTCCGACAGCAGAGCGGGGAAGGAGGCAAGAGAATCATCGGACAGCAAAGAGACCTGTCCCAACAAGTTGGGAGGTAAAGGCTGGCTCAGAGATAGCCGCTGACCGTCACAAGGGTACCATGGCATTCATGCGCCAGCAGGCATCCACATATGTGAGCATGCATGTGAGCGTGTGCATGTGTGAGAGAGAGAGGGAGAGAGAGAGAAAGAGAGAGAGAGAGAGAGAGAGAGAGAGAGAGAGAGAGAGAGAGAGAGACAGAGGAAATTAGAGCTACCCCCTCCCCACCCCGTGACAGCTTAAATGGTGAGTCAAAAATAGCATGGTAAGTTTCAAGATATTCGCTATCAAGCAATCAGAGACGGTGTTCCTTGAGATATGGAAAGCAAGCATAGATTGTTCCTTGCAGCCAGGATAAAGTTCTCAGGCCATAGCACAGCGAGAAGAGACCCAGGTGGGTCCTGTGGAGATTCCCCAAGGTGAGGATGTTATATAAATTGAAATAGATTTTTTTCATACCATATATTCTGATTGCAGTTTTCCCTCCCTCCCCCCACTCCCAGTTCCCCCCATCTCCTCTCCCACCAAATTCCTACCCTTTCTTTCTCTCGTTAGAAAGCAAAAAAAAAAAAAAAAAAATGGGTGGTTGGGATATGAGGGATCGGGTTGGTTGACTCGAGAGCAGGAAGGAGGGGGAGAGTAATGGAAGAGATATCCATTGAGGCCCGCGGGGAGAGATTTGATGGAGACATCCCTTTTGGGGCTTTGTGTTCTGAGGTCTCTCGCTTTCTGCGTATTTTCTGGCTGTGCGTCTCTGTTCCCATGTCCTGCAGGAGGAAGCTTCTCTTCTGATGGCTGAATAAGGCATAGATCTATGAGTAAAGCAGAGTGTTGTTAGCAGTCATTTTATTGCTACATTCCCTTAGCAGAACAGTAGTAGGTTCTTCCCCTAAGTCCCTGGGCTAGTCTCAGGTTCTTGGCCACCCACGCAGTATTGGCTATGGTTTCTATCTCCTGGGATGGGCCTTAACTCAAATTAGATATATTGATTGGCTACTCCCACAAGCTTTATGCCACTGTTACACCAGAGTATCTTGCAGGCAGCTTACCCCTGTAGATCAAAGAGGTTGTAGCTGGGTTGGTTATTGGGAGAAGCTGTTAGTTAGTTCCAGGCTGCCCAGACCACAAAATAATCACACAGAAACTGTATTATTTGCCACAATGTTTGGCCAATAGCTTAAGTGTATTTATAGCTAGCTCTTATATCTAACCCACTTCTATTATTTTATATTTTACCACGAGGCTCATGGCCTATGGGCAAGGTTGCAGCAATAGGGAGAGCCACCAGGGGCCTTGGCAACAGCCTGGGTTATTTGGTGGTTTCCATGGGACCCCTTTGGCCAAGAGCTTGATTAAATGTAACTCATTCCTGGTACTGGAAGCTTCACTTGGTGATGAGAGATATCCAACTGGGGCTCTGTCTCCCCTGTTATTGGGGAATTTTATTTAGATCATGTTCATATACACACGTACTTTAGAAAAGGTTCTTCTGTATTAGGTTTCCTTACTATCCTCAAATGGCCCTAGTTTTTCTGTCCTTTCCCATATTCCCTCCCTTGTCTCCTTGTCCCCTCCTCCTTCCTGTTTGTGTCTCCCATTCCAGCACATAAACCCCCATCCATCCCTAGCTATCCATTCTATCCTTAGGGAGATTCCTCCCTCCCCCACAGTCCCTAACTCTCTGCCTTAAACTGTGTTTATATGGACTGTAGCTTGTCAAGATGAGGATTTTGATGAAATGTTGAAGGGCCTTGCTTGCCTAGAGTTGGCAGGACAGAATACTAGGGAGATGAGAGAAAGCATCCCAAATGAAGTTTGAAGAGAAACCCTCACCTACTCTGTAGAGCATCGAACCTCACTACCATTGGCTGGGAAAGAATCACTTGAGAAGATTAGAAGAATTGTCCTCATACAGGGCTGAAAGGCTAGTCTGCCTGCCACCATGCCTAAAACCCTTGCCAAATTAGAAAACACCAGAATTCACAGGTAAGTGTATTCTGTGCAGTGTTTAGGGTAGTCATGCAGCCAAGACACATCTAAAGGACAATTATTTTCTAGTAACATAATTATGGCTCAGAACCAATTCAAGGAATTTTTTTTTTTAATCCAACCACCTAACAGATAAAAATCCCAACAGTAGCTGGGCGGTGGTGGCGCACGCCTTTAATCCCAGCACTCGGGAGGCAGAGGCAGGCGGATCTCTGTGAGTGAGTTCGAGGCCAGCCTGGTCTACAAGAGCTAGTTCCAGAACAGGAACCAAAAGCTACAGAAAAACCCTGTCTCGAAAATAAAAAAAAAAAATCCCAACAGTATTTGATACAAAAAAATAAAGAAAATAAAAAAAACCAAAGTCAAGGAATAGTAGAGAACCTGTTTAGCATACAAGTAAGTGAACAGATACACATCACCAGGCAAGGATACAGGAAAATATGAACCAGGATTAGAACTACAAGAACAAAACTCAATAGGAATTAGCAGACACTACTAAAATAGTATTGCCACTGTATTCCATGTGTTCAAAAGCTAAAGGAAAAGTTAAACAGGTTGGTTAGAGACCAGGGGCACATGGAAAGGACTCAAGTAGAATTTAGGGATAAAATCTGTGATACTTGAACAAGGGACACCCGGTGGGGCGAGCCTGGACTCTCAGCACTTGGGAGGTGGATCCGTAGTTCAAGGTTAGTTTTGGCTTCATGGTGAGTTCAAGGTCTGCCTGAGACCATTTTTCAGAAAAGCCATAAAGGAAAAGACCTAAAGCCGAACAAAACAAACAAAACTTACCAGCCAAACAGCAAAACAAAAGACAAGGAGACAGAAACTATTCCTAGGATATCTGAGATGACCAAGATACAGAAGGTAATTAAAGGGAAATTAATTATTGTAGAAAAGTAGGTTAGTAAACCTGAAGACACAGCACTAGAACACTCCAGAGTGAAGCGCACAGAAGGAAAAATTCTGACTTTAAGGGAAATCGGAAGCAGAGAACAGTGGGGCAAGTCGGGCTAGTATAACTACCTGCGTGTAACCATAGTGCCCGAGGAAAGGAGGCAGCAGATGATGGCAGCGTCGTTCTGAGTGTCATGGAGACTATGAACCCATGCACCTTAGAAGCCCAGCAAACCCCAAACACAAAAGGAGAAACTCCAAAGTACTAGGGACCCATAAAAGCCAAAATAACTAACCTTAGTAGATCTGTACTACAAAACCATGTTAAATGAAGTCCCTAAGGGAGAAGGAAAATGACACAAAAGAAACAGGCAGCTGTAAGGGGCACCCATCAGAAATGGCAGTGCCAGGGGTAACTGGATGTATGGAAATGGACACATGACTGTTGGCCTTAAAGCTCTTTAAAGGGGAACGGGCTGTTTAAACAGCAGCATGGTGTTGAGCTGATGGTGTACATAGCAATCGTCTGCATGACATCATAGCGCAAGGCCTGGGAGAGTATTCCATAGGGGTTCTTAAGCTGCATGTGGGGTAATTGAATCGCTTCTGGCTTTGCATCCTGGCTGGTAAAGACACTATAAAATAAATGAGTTAGTTAGATTTTTAATGGGATCAACTTAAATCTATAGATCTGTGATCTTTTTCTTTTACTTATAAACATAGTGTGTCTTTATTCTGTTTTCTTTGGGTTTTTTTTTTTTTTGTATGAAGAATTGGAAGATTTCCTAGGATGGTCTATTCCAGGTGTGCACTGTTTAACAGTTAGTGTAAGGGGCTGAGAGTTTAGCTCAGTGGTAATGCCTGTTATATGTGCGGAACTGGGCTCAATCCCCAGCACAAGACACTCTAAGATTCTGAAAGCCTAAAGTGTAAGGTTCTCTAAACTTTCCTGTGAAGATAAGATGATAGCCACAAAACTTCTTTTCCTCAAAGCATTCTTAGTTAACTTTACTTTCTAGAAAAGAAGCAGAATTCCCCGAGCAAGCCCAGTGTGACTCCTAGGCTCAGGACGATGCGACTGTCCCGAAATCAGAGAGCCGAGGACAGAAATGCAAGCTGTGCCCAATTCTTCAGTAGATGGTGAATCTTCCCAGCCCTCCCCTGAATAGCATGATAAACCCGAGTGATTCCTTCAGGTCTTTATTTGTGTTCTGGGCTTCCTTGGATCTACAAGTTCTAGGTCTGAGACAAAAATGGCTCTTTTAGGAAAGAAAAATTAAACAGGAACTAGAACAAAAATGAACTAAGAAGTCTGTGAAATCCATAGCTTATTTGTTTACTGTTTTATTGACATGCTAGAGCCTTGAGCAGATGGATGTCAAGTACTTACTACTTAGCTACACTCCTGCCCTGCTTGGTATCTGCTTGCTTGTTGGAAGATAAGGAAATGGTGTATATCCTGGCTGGTTTTCTGTCAACTTGACACAAGCTAGAGTCATCAGAGAGGCGGGAACCTCAATTGAGAAAATGCCTCCCTAAGATTTGGCTATAATTTTCTTAATTAGTGATTGATGGGGGAGGATCCATTCCATTGTGAGTGGTGCCTTCCTTGGGCTGGTGGTCCTGGGTTCTAGAAGAAAGCGGGTTGAGGAAGCCATGGGAAGCAAGGCAATAAGCAGCATTCCTCCATGACCCCTGCATCAGCTTCTGCCTCCAGGTTCCCACCCTGCTTGCGTCCCCTGCTTTTGATAATGAACAGGGAGTGAAATCAACCCCAAGTTTCTCCCCCAAGTTGCTTTGGTCATGGCATTTTATCACAGCAGCAGCAGTGACCCTGAGACGGGTGTGAGAGCCCC